CGCCCTTCACCGCCCGCCCTGCTTTTCGTTTGGGTGCCTCCGCCGCTGTTTTCCCACTACTGGAGGAAGCACCACCAGCATAAATATGAACTTTCGGAGGTCTGCGCAATTTTTTTTGTTTGAACGGCGATGGACCCCCCGAGTTCTACACGCAGTGCCGTGCTGGGCTGCTTTCGAAACAATGAGAACAGAACATACAAACAAACTTTCAGAGGTCCGCGCAAATTTCTTAGATCGGCGCTGGGCCCCCCTCCCTAACGCACAGAGCGCGCCAGGTGCAGTCTGGAGGCGCCGCCAGGAGAGTCCAGCGCCCATCAAAGAAATCCACGCGGACCAACACAAGCTCGACTCCTCTCGCCAAGGAGAGGAAGAGAAAGAAAAAGGAGGAGGACGAAGAGCTAAGAGGAGGACAAAGAGGACGAAGAGGAAGATTATTAGGAGCAACTGCAATACATCTTCCAGGCCTTCGTCCCCTCCTCATATCTCCCTACATGCCTTATTTTCCACTTCAGGAAGCGCCCACTTGAACGACCAGCGTACTAATTATGAGCCTGCCATTCAGGCGGGAGCCCCGCTTTGGAACGGAGCTAAAAGCCTTGTATCCTTCCATCGTGTAAGAAGGAACGCCCATACGGCATGACCATACAATCCAAATGGGTGTCTAACGAGAACCCCCTTTCGACAAAGGTCCGCCAACGTCTGTGTAACCCTTGAGGAAGTCTCCAGCGCAACCCGCATGTTGAGAAAGAACCGCTCTGCATCTATGCATATGCTGCATCTGTTCACGCCTTTGGCCCTGCAACTACCTTATAGCCACCTCCAACGAATACTTGCGCAATTTTAAAAGGAGCCCTTCATCCGTGCAGCTGTTGCATCTGTTCACATTTCTACATCGTCTGTGGGTTTACTGAAATCTCGAACGAAAGATTTCCTTTGACAAGGACCGGGCCATATTCCCTTCAACAGTTGCAAGCTTTTCAGAACACGAAAGGCCGAGGCGTTAAACCGAGACCCACCTACTCTGACAAGGAGGCGCCCTGCGCGGCGCTAGCGCGAGAGACGTTTTGAACATGGCCACCTCCGCCCTAAAGGCTGTTGCGAATTTCAATATGCAAGGTCGCAAATGGCGTGGAACTGTCAGGCGAAACGCCCGGCCCGCCTTGCCGACACGTTTGGTGGTGCGACAGAAGTGAGTTATTCATGAGAAAAAGGGATGGGAAAACAGGGAGGGGGACGAGAAGGAGGAGGAAGAAGAGGTGGACCGTAGCCAGAGGGAGGACCATGAGGAGCATGAGGGAGAAGTGAAAGGATCAGAGAGGAAGAGGGATGGAGGAGAGGGAAAGAAGAGGAGGACTCTTCATCCTAAAAGAATCCAGCGCGGATTCGTTGACTCACCACCCAAGCCCTCGTAAGCCCACACGCCGTCGGCTGCTGCACGGCCGGCGCAATATTTGAGCGTGTGGTCGCTGGCAAAGAGCTTGCGCATATGGGCGGTTAGATGGATGCTCCTTTTTGGACCACGCACATCAAACGAGTCAGGGTGATACGGCGAGAAATATATTCAGTTCGCTGGAGGCGCGGCAAAATTGTACACCAAAGCCAGTCACTCGGTGAGTTGGGGACCTCTCATGGTCTTATATCAACTTTGTCATGACATTGGTACACAAGTAGGTATGCGGTCCACTGCTGATTCATAACTTCTGCTAAAGTCATCTGACGTACGAGGGCATCGTCGTACATGAACCATTCAGAATTGTATCTAACTGCTGCGTTGTAATGGCCGCCGTTGGCAGACTCGCCCAAATGGCAGATCACGGCAGTGAGCTGATACTCCTGGGGCTGCAGCTTGTCCACCAACCAACCGCGTTCGAACGTGAGCTTTTCGACATACTTGACGGCTTTCTTGATTTTCTGCGGGCATCCAGTGTCCTTGTTGTAAGAGAAACGCTTCAAACACAAAATCCGGCAACCCCATCAACTGGAGGTCGAAAGGTTGTGAACTGTCCGTGCCCCCAACCACCCAGGGCCAATCTCGACCACGCACTTTTTACGTCGCAGCGCGGCAAAGGCGATCCGCACGCGCGCTCTAGTAAGCCGGGCTATGGCAGGCACTAGATGTCTGGTGGCTAAAGGGGGACCGAGGCGGGGTGCGGCCGCGGAGGGCGAAGGAGGAGGGGGGGCACCATAACACGAAGACCTTCGACTGGAGCGGACGGTCGGCTAGCTTGTGCTGACGCGGCCTGGCAGTGGACGCCAGGCGGCATCGCGGCCACACCCAAGGCCGTGGCGCAAGGTGCAACATAGAAAACGAAGACAAGTCGCACCAGCACTGGAGGCGAGCGAGCCCACACAGGCGGGCGGCACCAAGGTGTTCGTCAGAAGGCCCGGGGCGCGACAGGCTTTGCTGCAAAGGCGGGCTAACGGATGCAGGCAGCCCAAGCCCACAGTGGGGTCGGCCGCAATAGTTCGCGGCGGAAAAATGCTGCAAGAGCCCTGCTGAACTGCTGAGAAACGGGCTGTGGGATTGCAGTGCTGCCGGGGGGAGTTCAACTTATGCCAGAGACTGCTGAGCTACTGACGCCACCAGCCGAAGTGATGCAGCACCATACCCCGGCTGTCGGGGCCACGGCGGGCGTCCGGCGAGGCTGCCGGGGATAGGGCGGCTGAGCCTACAGGAGCTGCAGTTGGGGCCACGCGACAGGGCTTCTGGCAGATGCGCCAATGAGGCGACCAGCAGGGCTGCTGCGAGGCGGGGCTGCTGCGCAGGAGAACCTTAACCACGCACGTGAACTCGGGAATGAAGCAATTAGTCGAAAGTATTGTTCTCGCCAGTCGTTCATCATATAACGGTTGGTACTAGGATGGATGCTGTGAGTGGGAAATGAAGTGGAAACAAATTGCCCTAGCCAGCTCAACTTGCCAACCCAACCCATCCAACCAGCCAACCCAACCAGCCACCCCGCCACCCAGCCAACCTGTCAGCAAACGCGCTCAAACAGCCCCCCCGTCACCCCGCCCAATGCCCAACCAACCAGCCCAACCAGACACCCCGCCACCAAGCCAACCCGTCAGCCAACCAGCCCAATCAGCCACCTGCTCTCCGTCACCGCCGAAGGGGTGGGGGAAGTGTTTCTCACCAGCGAGAACGAAAAACAAACATCCTCCTGGGGTCCAGCGGGGCAGCGGGGAGAGGGCACATCGCACCGTACCTTGCAGGACCGCGATTCGCGTAGCGGGGCGCCCGGGACGGTTTTGGATCTCAGGTGCGACAGCGTGGTCACTGTTAAAACTTCACCGCGCTCCCTTTCTCAACGGGAAGGCTCCCATCCTCGAAGCAATCCTCACTTTTAGGGCCTCGCGCATGGCTTCTTAGAAAACAGCCGAAATGCTCAGGCGACGCCACATCGCATTGCAAGGGGGGGACCGCAGCCTGGAGCGGATTCTGTCGGCAGGCAATGGTGGGTGGCCTAAGAGGGCTCCCCCCCTGAAGCAGGAACCCTTGAACAGCTCCAGGAGGCCCCGAGAAGCCGCAGGAGGCCCCAGGCGACCCCAAGCGTTCCCAAAGGACGCCGAAGATTCCAAGAGGCTCCGGAATGATGCAGGAGCACCCAGGAGGCCTCAGAAAGGGTTGAGGCGGCGCCAGGAAGCAACCGGACGCCCCAGGGGTCCCTCGGAAGAACTAGGCACGGATTCGCCGTTGGGCCCCAGGAGCGGGCCCCCACTGGTCAGGGGGAGCCGAAAGGAAGGGACTGACCTGGGAATCGACGATGCATCGCTGATACATCGGCGATAGGCCCCCGAGAACGAAACTGAAGGTTCCTGGGCGGGACAGGGCATTCAGGCCCAATCGGCAAAGGATGGGCGATCGGGGGTCGATGCTTCCCCCCCCCTCTGGTTTCCCCCCCCCATTTCCTCCCAGTCCTAGAGGCGAGGCCTCGATGGTCAACTGGAAAGGACAGAAGGGGCAGACAGAAGCAAGAATCGCGCGAATGGCTTCGGTCAAGGGTGGCTCCTCCTGCGGGAACCCTTTCGTCCTCCCACCCCCCGCCCCTTGGAGGCCCATACAGGCCGTTCGGTGATGCCTGCGGGACTTTGAAGTCATCGGCGCAGGAAAACACATGCATCACCGGAGATCAATTTTCGGAGATTCGCGTGGATTTGTTGGAAGGAGGTTGAAGTATCAAATTGAAAGGTTCACTGAGTGTTGAACTAATGATCTCAAGGAATGACGGATCTATGGTGTACCTCGATTGGCGGTGGTAGGCTTATGGTGCCCACCGTTGGTTGTGGGGGAACCTATGGTGCGCCTCCGTGCCCACCCCGTCCCGTCCACAGGGGCTTCGCACTTCCCCCTATGGTGGGAAGGTGGGTGGACGGGCCGCCCCCCCCCCGGCGTCGTACGTACTACGCCAGGGGTGGTGGTGATTTATGTCGATAAGTAATATCACCCTTCTCTGTCCCGTCCCATCCCAAGGTGCCCCACCGAATGTTACTTAAGACCGGGGTAGGGGAGAAAACCCGGGGGGGGGCAAGATTGTTAACACCATCTTCGGGGACTCACAATCCCACTACGTGGGTTAGCGGAGTTACACGGGCTTGTACGTAGACACGCGATGTTCTTAACTTGCGCCGCAGTCGCCCATCACCTCGGAGGCGAACCCGAACAAGCAACGACAGAGTCTGGATGCCTTCACGGATGCACGAACGCGCCGGGATCGAAGGCCCCCAGAAAGCCCCACCCCACCCCGGGGGGAGGCGGAAGGGGGGGGGGCGGAGCAGGGGGAGGCGGAGGGGCGGGAGGGGGGAGGATGGGGTGGGCAAGACAAAGTGAAGCCCCCCGAGGACTTGGCACCCATTCCATATCACCGCCCAGCGCCACAGCGACAGGTTGTCTTCTACGCGCGCGAAGCCCTGCTCAGCCCCTCAGAAACCCACTTCTCCAACAGTTCCGTTGGGTAGTTCGCGGCCCCGCGCAGGTGCCGCGCGGGCGAATCCAAGACCTCCGCCATTGAGTCAACCGGGCGGGTGTAGTCCCGCATCCTGGCCACCGCTCCGAGTGCGAGCCCTCGTTTCATAGACGTGGGGGCGCGGCCGAAAACCGGCGCGCGCGCTGAGCCCGCCCCGAGCGATTCGGTGGATGGGCGCGCGCGGGCCGCGCCGTCGAGCTGGGGCGCCAAATCAACGCCAGCAAACGTGACGCTGGCGTCGACCTCCATCGGGAACGGGCGGCGTCGCCGCGCCGACCCCCCCGGCGCGACGGAGATGCGTTCGATGTCCCCAGAGGATAATGAAGGGGGTCCCTTCTGCAACATTACGCAGTCATCCATGTGGCGAATTTCTAAGACGATCGCCGCGATCCCATTGAGCGTCCGTGGGCTTGCGCGGCCCCGGGCCCCCGGCGACGGCGGCGCTGGGCCACGCGGCGCGCAGTGGTGCTGAATGTCTAGGAATGCGAGGGCCATCCTCGTCAAAGCGCTGCCCGGAGGAGAGCCCATCGCCAATCCCTCGACTGCCTTGCCGACGAGCGCTCCTGGCAGGAAGAGGCCAGTCTCGGGGTGGTGGGAGATTTGGCACTCGATATCGTCCAACGACAGCGCGACGCGGCGGTCATGGATGCGGGGCGGGATGCGGCCCTCCGTGGAGACCGCTTTTTTTACCCGGGCGCGCGACGCGCGCGGCCTGTGTCGAGGTGGAGGCTGCTGAACGATAGGAGGCCCAGACTCCACGAACAAGTGCGCGTCGGGCGTTGGCGGAGCAGCTCTCGACGTCCGCCCCCGACCCCCCGACAGGTGTAAAGGGCGCGCGCTGGGGGGATTCCTCGATCAAGTCGATGGCCGCGCCCGCGCGGTCGATGTCAACGTGGGCGCGGCTGGGCAGGGGCACCGAGCTGATCCAACCTCGAGCGCGGGAGGCCGGCGTGTCAAGGCAAACCGTTGGCCGCCGAGAGCGATTGACTATGGGCCGCCAGTCGTCCGGCTTTTCGAGCATTTCACTCGGGGCGCTGGCTTCAGCCATCCTCCAGCGGGATGCTCTGCTGATCCTCGCTGGCTGGATTCCTGCCGACGAGCCAGGGGCGGCGGCAACTCGCCCCAAAACTGCTTCGACCGTGAGCTCCGGATAGTTTTCAACATGATGTTCCTGCCCATCGGCCCCGAAGATCGCTCGCCCCGGAAGTCGAACCCTGCGGGGGCATTCCGCAGCGAGAACCCGACGGGTATGCTGCAACTCCTCAATCACCAATCCGCCCAAGAGCGCGCGCATGCTAACGATGTCCTCGCGGCGCACCGCGTCGTGGCCAAGCGCGCAGGGCGCGGCCGAGCTCAGCGGGGGGTCTGCCACGCGGGAGCTAATGGCGCTCGCAGGGCCCTCCTCCATAGGAATGCCTGTTGCTTTCGCGACTGCCTTCGCGTCTGCGGCGCGCCGCGATGCCGCGGCCGCGCGGTGCGGGGCCACAGACGCGCGGGGCGGTGTCTGTCGGGGCCTCGCGTGGTCAGTAGGCCACGGCCAAGAGCCCTGCGGGGCGACTGTATGAAGGCAGCCATCTGGAGACAGTGCGCGATGGGGGGTCTGGGAAATACGAGCAGGCGCAGGGCCGCGGGTCTGGTTCGTGAAACCGACGGTAGAACTTCGGTGCGTTTCTGAGAATGCCCCTGATCGTGAGGGCGGACACCTGGGCGACGCCCAGTCGGAGGCCCCTCGAAGCGGGATGGGGGGCTGCAAATCCACGTCCGCGAGCGTGCGCAATCACATCTGACAATCACTTGCGAGCTCGCTCCATCGCTGGCGGCTTCACCAGGAAGCCACGGTGGGGTAATGCGCATCGTTGAGCGTGGAGTTGGCCAGCGACGGAATCGCCGTACCCGATCCAAGAATGCCATTCCCATTCGGCGGGGACTGCCATCCATGCGTCTATGAACGCGGTGCCAGACTGCGAAGAACTCGCCCGTTGAGACTGTGAACATGAGTCGACGAAGTTGGCCAGACTGCGGCTTCCCGAGAACGCTGCGCACGCCAACTGCCACGCGCGCCACCTGGGCCGCAGAGCTCCTCGTCCGAACTTGCCCGGGCGATTGGCGTGAAGCATAGCGACGCCGCCGCGCGGATCGGACCCCGCCGCGCGGCAGCCAGCAGGGCCATGCGCGGTTGCTGGCGGGGCGAGCCTGGGCGAAGAAAAAATGAAGGTGACAACGGGCCCTTTGTCTGAAATTGATTGTTTTCCCGATGTAGAAGACTTCGCGGCAAGGGCGCCAAATCAGATGCGCCGCGAACTCGGGCGCCGAGCAATTATCCGATGGGGGCCGCGCGGGGCCTGGCAGGGGCGACGCGAGCGAACGATATGCGCTGGAGAACTGCGCGGTGGATGCCATGAAAAAGTCAGGCGTGATGGGGGGATGATCGAATGGAGGGCGAAGATGCACTTCCACTCCAAAACTCTCCAGAGAACGGCGGACCAATGTCGGCGTGGATAGGAGGCTGCGCCGGATATCAAGTGAACGAGATGCACGAAGCATCCCGTCATCATGCAAATCCCAAGCCCCACCGCGTGCGCCGTCCTCTTGCGCCCGCGCGCGGGCCTGTAGTCGCTGGCCATGGTTGGAGGCTCGCGCCCTGGCGGCGGCAAGCAACTGAGCGATGTCTCCAATCTTCGATCCGTCAAACTCCAGGCCGAGATTGTCGACCTTCTCCTTGAAGACCGTCAGGATGTTCGCAGGCAGCTTCTTCTTGCCGCCTTTGCCGCCTTTGGTCTTCTGCCCAATAATTTCGCCCATTGCTTTGCGGTGGCCCTGGGGCCTGTGTCGCAATGCTGGGGGGTCGTCCTCGCGAGGGGTCTTCTCGTCCAAGGCCCATTCGATGGGCTTCAGGCCCCTTGACTGGTGCAGGCGCTGAGCGTGGAAATCATTCAGGTCTTCGAGCGTGAACTTGAGGGCCTGGTTGCTGTCGGCCGCGCGTTTCGGGGCGAGGGCCGATGTCGCCCTTGACGAAGCCGGCTTGGACTCGGGTATCGCTGCGTCGACCTCCATGTGGGCCTGGCCAGGGTCGGCGATGGAAGCAGCAACCTTGCGCATCATTGTCGGGAGCGACTCGTCCTGGGTCCCGTACTCTGCACACTGCTACCGGCTGTGGCTGTGAATCCAATGGAGAAACACAGAAATGTTGAAGGTGTCGGAATCAAGAAGCACGTAAGGGATGAGCTTCCGCAAATTCTCACGGGCCTGCGACCGCATGGTGCACGGGCAGAAATCGTCGGCGTTCTGGCTGATGTCCTTCCTCACCTTCGCGGTGCAGAGGACAGTGCAACGCCGAAGCATCTCAGCATTACACTTTTTCCGGGCTTCCATGAACTCCTCCGAGCCGAAGGTCAGGTCGGGGTGGAAATTCGGTGGCAGGCCGTGCGCGATTTGTAGGATCCGGGCCCCGGCGTGGACGTCATCGAAGACGGGGTGCTTCAAATCATCGTCGGACAGCTGGTCAATGATGCTTTTGGCTTTTTCAAGCTGGTTGGGCGGACGCTCCACACATGGACTGCCTGCGCGAGGATGCACGGTGGGACCTCAAGGATCTGGCCGCAGTGCCTGAGGAGTCGTGTCAACATCGCGCGGACGAGGTGGTGGCTGTGCGGCTTCACGACCTCTGTGCGCCCTCGGACGTAAGTAGAATCGGGAGATGCGGTGCGGACGCGGACTTCGGCGGGCTTGCAGGACTGGCCGCCGACGGACACTCAACAGCAAGGTGACCGCGGGTACCGCATAATGGGCACAGTAGGTTTGACGGAGCCGTATGGTGGCTCCTGGAGCGGCCGCCGCCCCTGTGGTGGGCAGGCGTCCGTTCCATGTCACGGGCCCTATGGTGGCCCGAACTCGTGTCCCGTGGCCGTGCCCTATGGTGGCTCCAGCTTCTGCTCCTCCGCTCCCGGGAACCCGCGCGACGGCCATCACGACGAACATCGCGAGAATCTTCCCTGCAATGGCGCTGCAAGCGGTAGCCAACCGTCATGGCGGCCGAACGGTTGTGGCCGTAGGGACCTACGGAGTAGATGCAAACTACCTGAAGGAGCCTGACACGGCAGCATAATCAAACTACCTGAAGGAGCCTGACAGGGCAGCAGAACCATAGAGAAGGGACACGTCAAACCCCCCTACCCTCCCCCTCCCAAGTTCCATGAATTCACTGAAGTCTACGTGGAGGCAATGGACGGCCGGCAGGGGATACAAGTCCCGATCGCGGCCCAGACTGGAGAGAGGTTGAAGTATCAAATTGAAAGGTTCACTGAATTTTGCACTAATGGAATCAAAGAGTGGAGGACATATGGCGTACCTCCATTGGTGAAGGTAGGCTTATGGTGCCCACCGTTGGTTGTGGAGGAACCTATGGTGCCCCTCCGTGCCCACCCCGTTCTGTCCACAGGGGCTTCGCACCTCCCCCTATGGTGGGAAGGTGGGTGGACGGGCCGCCCCCCCCCGGCGTCGCACGTACTCCGCCAGGGGTGGTGGGGATGTTTGTCGATGAGTGATATCCCCCCTGGCGCTGGAAGCCTCTCCCTGGCGCGCGGAGCACGCCAGCGGCAGCGTCAAAGTGCAGCAAAGGGACCCAACTCCGATCCGAGAAATCTGGGTGGACCTCTCAAAGTCGAGGGGCCCCTGATCCCTGGAGGCCCCTGGAGTTGTTATCCCCCCAGCCCTCTGGGCGACAGGCGGTCTAACGATGTCTTTTTTTCCTCTTCCACAACCCCTTATTCCCCTTCGGGGAGGGGTTCATCACTGTTCCCTATTGATTACACACCCTCCCCCAACCGTGACGACCGCATGAGGGCCCCCTCCCCCCCCAATCCCTGTCAAAAAACAATACAAAAAACGCACTCTGCCTCAATATTTGGAGCATGCGCGGCCGCCCGCGACCATTTTGGTATTCTACAGGGGCGGCTGGGGTGCCAGCAGATCCCACCTGCCTTCTGGGCGCAGGTGGTCGACCGACTGGATTGACACATCAGTGGCTGGTGCCTTCTCGCCTCACCGTTTCCGATGGGATTTCGAATCTCCACATGGCTCCAAAATTGACCAAGAAAGCTCAAAGCCGGGCCCAAGAGCCCCTAGTGGTTGCCAGTGGCTGGCGTACCTGGCGTGACTGGAGCACGTGGAACACTGGGCGCACGTGGAGCACGTGCCGCACCTGGCGCGCCTGGCACGCTTGGGCCTCCAGGGTCTGGCGCATCTGGAACCCGTTGCGTTTGCGGCGTCCTTACGCGATATGCTGACTCCCGGGTATTACGTATGTGTTGGGAGGGCGGGTGGGAGTGAGCAAGACGGCTTGCGGGCGGGTGGGAAGCTTGACCCCTCCCTCATACCCCCTCCCGTGGACCTGGACGGAGGGGGCGCGAGGTGTCAGAGGGTCCCTTTTCTCCCAAGATGGCTCCAAGAGGGCCTCAGAAAGCCCAAGATGGCCTTCAAGATCGCTCGAAATAGCCCAACATGGCTCAATACAGCGAACAACATGCCTCCAAGAGGTCCCAAGAGGGCCACAACACGGATCCAAGTGCTTGTGGAAATCCCTCACGAGAAGCCAAACTCCTTCAAAAACCAACAGGAAACAAATGATTTTGGCCTTCTCGCCTTTTCGCTTCCGATGCACTTTTGCGGCCTCAAGATGGCCGCACGATGGCCCAAGAGAGCCCCAAGAAGGGCCCAAGAGGCCCCCAAGACGGCCCCGAAGCGCCCAAGATCGCCCCAAGAGTGCCCCAGGAGCGTCCCAAGAGGCGATTTCGATGGCCCCAGAGGGGCGACGAACATCGAGGACACCCTCCTTTGATCGATGGTCTCCAAGATGGCCCCAGGAGGCGCTCCATCGCTCCCCAGAGGTCTTAAGAAAACCCCAAGAGAGCCCCCATGAGGTCCTAGCCCCAAGAGGACCCCAATACCCCCCAAAGAGCCCAAAGAGGGCCCCCAAATGCGCCAAAAGAGCCCCAAGAGGACCCCAAGACGCCCCCAAAAAAACCCATAGCTCCAAGAAGGCCTCCGGTGCCCCAAGATAGCCTCCAACATGTCTCAATACGTTCCTCCCCCTTCTCTCTTTAAACAGCTCTGTTTCACAATATGCGCCTCTGCTTCCCATTTCCCGTCAGCTCTCGTGGGCAGGGCTTCTGAATGGGCTGGCCGTGAATCATGTAGGACCCGATAGGCGTTCAGAGAGTTTGTCTTGTCTTTGATATGTTTGCCTGCCTTGCATACGTGATATACACAGCCATTTTGGAGCATGCTACGGTCGAAGCTAGGGGACTGTGATCATACAGTGCGTCGCCGTGACCGGTGGGCAATATAGCATCAACATCCCACTTGCACTGACATTGGTAGCGGAGCCGTGGCTCCGACAGCTGCGGCTTGGCACGCAATGGCAGGGACCTCCGGAGCACCCGCGCTGCGCGCCGACATGGCCATCCCCACGTGGAACGGGAAGGCCGAGACGCTTGAGGACTACGCCATTGCGGTGGAGCTGCTGACGCTGGGCTCATCCAAGGAGGTGAGGCGAGGCCGCTGCTGGGACCACGACTGGTGGCCGCGCTGCCGCAGGGGTCCGCCCAGCAGCGCTTCGCTCTTCGATTGCCTCGAGAAGCTGGCCTCGACCTGGACGGAGCCCCACTGGAGCCGAAGTCGATCGCCACCGCGGACGGCCCCAACAACCTGATAGAGGCATTCAGAAGGGAGCTGGGGACGCAGGTGGTGTCTGACATCGGCGAGAAGACTGACGCGTACTTCTATGCAGGGCCGGGTTGGAGTGCACTGACTCGCAGACTTGGAAGGAGTATGGCCCAGTGGATCGCGCCTGAGGAGGAAGCGTACGACCAGCTACAGCGAGCGTACAAGCTGCTGGTGCCAGACGTGGGAGACATACTGCCCGGTGCAGCGCGGGGAGTCCTCCTCTGGCGCAACGGCAACTTAGACCCCTCGGAGAGAGCAGTGGTGAGCAGCACCATCAAGGGAGACTGGGAGCTCGAGAATGTGAGGAGACGCCTGCGCGATGCGTGGGCTGAGAACGAACTGGCCGCGCGGGATAAGAAGACGAAGCAGAGCAACCACCGCGCGGCCCACTGCGCCGACGAGATCCCCTAGCAGACCAACGATGAGCAGTGAACCGACCACGAGCTGCCGCCAGACGAGTACGTTCAGGCCGGCGAGGAGGACGTCGCAGCGCTGGAAGAGCACGAGGCCCTGGCCGCGCAGGAGGCGGACGCAGCGACCCGCACCTGGGAGCAGGCCCGGAAGCTGCTCAGCGAAGTCTCCAAGGCCCGCGGCTACTACCTGGTCGCGGGCCTGGCCGCGCCGCCACCGACTCGGAAGGGCGCGGGCAAGGGCGGGGCCCAAGGGCGGAGGCCGAGGCGACCAGGGTGCGCCGTCTTCCCCGAGAGCCCCTGCGGGCCAGTTTCGCGATCGACCGGGGCGACCTCAGCAGGGCCGCGGTGCCAGCGTGAAGTGCCTCCTCTGCCGGCAGCTGGGACACACAGCCGTGGACTGTCCCTCGAGGTATCAGACGGGAGGCAACGGCAACGGGAACATGAACATCGGCTTCAAGGAGCGGACACGCCTTCACCTACGCCAACAACACGACGGGCATGAGCGTCGGGAGAGGGGGCATTCCCCGCCCGATGGGGCTGCGAGATCACGGGGGCAAGCACCGGTTCTCGCTCGTGCCCTCCGAGAGCCCGATGCTGCTGGGTCTGGACTACCTGAAGGAGGCGGAGGCGAACGTGACGCACGACGGCTACCTGGAGTACTCGGACGAGCACCGTGAGAGGCTAGAGCCCCTGCGCTCTGGCCACTGGGGCCTGCCGCTCCTCTAGGGACAGCGACTGCGCCCGGAGAGAGCGGAGCCGGGTGACACTACCAACGTCCCCGAGGGAGAAGAAAGTCCGCCATTTGCCTCCGCCGTCCTCTTAGCAGCTACGGCCGCCCCAACGGTTGGCACATCAGTCCCATCACCACCATCATCTCCACCATCGACCTCAGGAGCGAGAACGCCTCGGCCGACGCCGACTCGAGCGAGTACCCTCTCGAGTACTCCGACACGAGCGAGTGAGCTATCGAGTCCACCGACACAGCTACCGCGCCCGACTTCGACGCGAGCGAGCACTATACCGAGTCATGCGCAGTGCGATCGAGGACCCTACCGAGACAAACAGCAATGCGATCAAAACTACGGTGTCCGACGTTGTCACCTCAGAACCTGGGTTCATCTTCGTGTCCGTCGCCACGCGGGCTCGAGTACGAGACGAATTCTCAGAGCATCCCATATCCCTATGCCGAAGGGCAAAGCAACAGCGAGGAGAGCGACTCGGAATGGGAGAAGTTGGGCGAGCACCCGCCCGCAGAGGAGGCGCGCTCCTCCAAAGCTGGGCCTGCCTGCTCACGGCCGCCTGTCTCGCTGCGCCCTGGGTCCACCGGGCCGACGCCGAGCGCGGAGTCGCGGCCGACGGTGGAGGCGGGCCCCGCATCGGAGGAGTACGACCTATCTGTACTACGACGCGCTGGAGCATGCCAGCTACCTCCTGGCGGACTCGGACCCCCAGGCGAACCCCGAGCAGAGCCGCGGCCAGTGCTGCAGGTGCCGAACAGTCGCCGCCGCTGCGCCGACGGGGCCGGCGAGCCCTCGAAGGGGGCCCAGAGGGGACCTCTCGGAGCACGAGGGAGCCAGGCCATCCCTGGCATCACATGGTGGCCCTCGCTCAGGACAGAAAGAAGTGGAGTTCTCGTGGCCGCATCCTCAAAGACAGCAGGAACGGTCTCCCGAAGTCCGTGGGCGGACCTGCGAGGGGGCTGGGGAAGCACCTGTGTCGGTGGGGCTGGCGAGAGATCCACCCCTACTGGTAAAGGCTCAGAGCATCGCCGAGAAGCGCGCAGTGGTCGCCCAGCTGCAAGGTTACCAGGCGGAGCTGAGAGATAACATGCTGGCGGTACTGAGGCCCTCGCAGCTGGACTTGCTCGAGATCAGGTTCCAGGAGGACTCGT